ATTTAAATGAAGTACAGTCTGCAAAGCATGTATTATCATATGGTAGGGCGGGTCACGTCAGTTGTATCTCCCTTCTATTCCATACTCCTTGGTTTAAACCCAGTATTAAATCTGGCTGCCCTGTATGTGAACAGATGGGAAAGAATACTTGAAGAGGTGATAATCTCTGCTACTGGAGAAAAGATACGCCCATAAACTAGTCAATCCTTTTCCAATCATTCAATACTCTTCAAAAGAGTAAGGTATGGTTTTCTAATTTTTCTTTTAAGTTTTAAGTGTTTTGAAAAATTCCTTATTTTAAAGGTTGCATAAAAAGATGTTATATTTTTGTTCTCTTCTTTGTTTATTTGAGTTGCTTTGTTTGTATTATTTATTTTTATTTTTTGCTTATATCTGTTATATCATAGGACGAACTCCTGATGATGCCAAAGTTTTTGACGAAATATATTGAGAAGAAAATGATATAATTCTAGTGCTAGAAAGTAGGGTTGGGATTTGTTTAAAAACGATCTAAAGTTTTTATTTATATAATATATATAATACATATATAGTACATAGTTTAAGATCTGTAAAATGAAACAGGGCAGATTTCAGATTTTGTTAAATTATTTAATAAATGAAATACAGTGATAAACAGAAAACTCTGGAATAGGAAGTTGAAATTTAGACTCAAGTTAATAGTTCACACTGCTGAAATTGGACCATCAGGTTTCAAGTCAAAATACCTAAACCTTTTCTTTGGAATATATTAATATGCAGTCTACTGAATTATAATCTCAATTTTAAGGAAAAGCATTCAGGGAGTTTTGAGTAAATCCATTTTTATGATATTGAAGAAATCAAGTGCATTTTCTGGTCAAAAAACAAATGTATCTTTAGTTTCAAGACTTGATTAAGCAGATTATGTTTTTTTGCAATATTTTTTTAACCTTTTTTGGCACATGACAGGCTGCCAAATAATTCCGCAAAAAATCAATGTCATAAGTGAACTGTATGACTGTTTAAGTACTGCCAATAAAAGGGTTTTTGAAGTGGAATCCTAAAAATCACATCAAAAAGACTTTTTCAGGCCGTATCTAGTCAGTCACGCAGTTGACTTTGGACTTTGATTTTTTACTACAATATGCCTTTTGACTGTTCATGAAAAGTTACAAAAATTGGAGACCCTGCCATTAGCAGTTCAAAATATATATTGTAAAAACCCAGAAGAAGCATATGCCTTTAAATGAAATTTACATTTGATTTTAGACCTATATCTTTGTGGAAAATTCACAAAAATAAATTGGCAAGCAACCCCTCCCCCGCCCCTCTACCTGAATGTGTGAGATTTTGACTTTAGTGGGGGGGGGGGTTTAACACATCTANGGGGGGGGGGGTGCAAAATATATTTGCTGTAAATTATATCTTGGAAATATGATTCTTTAGATTTAAATATTTATATTTTGGAAGTCTGATTGTTTATTTCTTAAGTTTGAACTCTATCTCATGAATGTTGGTTAGTGTATATTGTTCAAAGGTTCAAATCAAACTACAGAGAGTTGAGTAGTGCGGGTTCCTATATAGCTTCATATTCACACGGTGCAAAACTGTGCGAATACTGATAATAAGAACCTTTCTATTCAACTCCGTTTTAACATATTAAAAACACATAAGAACACTAATTAAGTAGGGGAGGGTTCCCCGTAGGAATAAATGGGGGCGTGAGCCCCGTCCCCCCCCCTCAGTTCCGGCCCTGAGCATACGTGTAAATACATGTCACTACATACACAGATACATGTAAATAAATACATAGATACAAGTCAATACATACACAAATACATGTAAATTCATACATAGATTCATGGCAATACATACACAGATACATGTAAATAAATAAACAGATACATGTTAATACGTACACAAATACATGTAAATAAATAAACAGATACATGTTAATACGTACACAGATAAATGTAAATACATACACAGATACATGTAAATACATACACATATACATGTAAATAAATACATAGGTACATGTAAATACACAGATACATGTAAATACACACATAGATACATGTAAATACATAGATAGATGTAAATACATTATACGAAGAAACATGTAAATAAATACATAGATACATGTTAATAAATGCATAGATACATGTTAATACATACACAGATACATGTTAATAATTACATAGATAGATGTTAATAAATATATAGATACATGTTAATAATTACATAGATACATGATAATAAATACTAAGATACATGTTAATAAATAAATAGATACATATCAAACATACACAGATACATGTTAATAATTACATAGATACGTGTTAATAAATACATAGATGCATGATAATAAATACATAGATACATGTCAAACATACACATATAATGTTAATAACTACATAGATACATGTAAATAGATACACAGATACATGTTAATAAATACATAGATACATGTTAATACATACGCAGATACATGTAAATACATCATACACAGATACATGTAAATACATCACACAAAGATACTTGTAAAAACATCATACATAGATACATGTAAAAACATACACAAATACATGCAAATACATATACACAGATACATGAAAATACATCATACACAGATACATGTAGAAACATCATACATAGATACATGTAAATACATACACAGATACATGTAATTACATACACATATACATGTTAATACATACACAGATACATGTAAATACATAGATACATGTAAATACATCATACACAGATTCATGTAATTGCATACACAGATACATGTTAATAAATAGATAGATGCATGTAAATACATACACACTACACAGATACATGTAAAAACATCATACATAGATACATGTAAATACATACACAGTTACATGTAATTACTTACACATATACATGTAATTACATACATAGTAATAATTACATAAATACATGTTAATACATAGATACATGTAAATACATAGATACATGTAAATACATACAAATATACATGTAAATACATACACAGATACATATTAATGCATGCATACACAGATTCATGTAATTACATACACAGATATATGATAATACATAATGATTCATGTAAATACATATACACAGATACATGTAAATACATACACAGATACATGTAAATACATGTACACAGATACATGTAAATACATAGATTCATGTAAATACATACACAGATATCTATATATAAATTTGGCTTGTCTGTTTGTTTGTTTGTTTGTTTGTCTGTCTGTCTGTCTGTTTGTATCCAATAAACGTCAAAACGGCTGAACCGATCGGGCCCAAATTTTTTGTGGGACATCTAGGGACCCCAGGGAAGGTTTATGAATGATCAAAATTTCAAATATTTGTCTCCATCAAAATTCGATCGTCATTAAATTTTTGAAAATTTTGAAAATCCACGAAATTTTTTGTGAAAATCCACGAAATTTTTTGTGAAAATCTGCGAATTATTTTTGTTTTGTTTTACGATGTAAACAAAGAGAACATGTTCACAATTAATTTAGAAGATGGGCGCGAAGCGCCCTCTCAGGCTAGAAAGAAGGGCGCGAAGCGCCTTGAATTTCTAGTATGTATAATACGGAGAAAAACGCCACAATGTTGTCCTAAACCATGCATAGCTAAGCTAGTAAATGTAGTTTCTTTAAATAAATTTTCTTTAGATAAAAACAAGCATTATGACCGTAAATATTAGAGTTTTTTCCCAGGAAGCAACATGACTCAATTATTGTTAATTTTCAACAGGTGGAAGTCTGGTACAAAACGCACCTGCCATATGTAATTTGTACTATGTATAAATAATGTAAAAAAGCCCTGTAGGATACTAAACTTTCAGGGCGCTTCGTGACAATCTTTTATTTTAACTTCTAAATGTTGCTTTATCTATGAACATACTCTCTTCTTATACATTCTAAAACAACAACAAAAAGTTCGCATATTTCAAAATATTTTTCGCGAATTTTCCTAATTTTATGATTGAATCGATTTTTTTGGAACCAAACTTTTGATATTCTGATTATCCAGAAACCCACCCCATCATTGCGAGGTAGGGAGGGAGGTCCTACACAAAATTTGGGCCAGATCTATATCTATCTTAAAAAATTCGCCTGCACCACGTCTTTTTGTTCCTAAATCTCGATTTTTTGGTTCCAAAATAAATCTAGCAACCCCCCCCCCTCACTTAAATCCCGTATCCGTCCCTGGGTATCCTACATCTTTTCGGATCGTTTATGGCTCTAAATTGCGATTTTCGGAACTAATCAGAAAATTTAAAAGAATGAATCTTTTTTAAAAATCGCATAAGCCTAATTTGACAATTTTAATGCAGAAAACTTAGGAATTTTTCAAGTATTATTTTTCAAGTATTATTTTTCAAGTATTATTTTTCAAGTATTATTATTTGCGTATTATTATTCAAGTATTATTATTTGCGTATTATTATTTGCGTATTTCAGCGTTAAATCTATGAGAAAATTCAATATGATATGGGACGCTCTGTAGTAAAAGAAATTTGAAAATAAAATTCTGTGATACTCAACTCAACTCTAGCTGTGAACTTAAAAGGGAAAGTTAGGTTACAGCACTGCAATGATATATTTTTTTGGTGGGTAGGTGGGGGGCTTCACTCAAACCCTAAAAGCCAACTAATTTTTTTAATGTTCTTCACATGGTTTAACTTACTGTTCAGTGTTCATATATACCTAAAAACTAAGATTAACGCACAAAACAAAATTCAATCTTCGGATTAACATATTTTAAGAGTTTCAGGTCGTCATTAACTTCTCATCTTTTATGGGTAACCCTGTGTATAAGAGATATTATTTTACGTACATGGGTAACCCTGTACGTAAGATATATTATTGTAGGTACATGGGTACCCTGTACATAAGAGATATTATTGGAAGTACATGGGTAACCCTGTACAAAATTAATTTTTTAAAAGTTTTCTTGAAGACGACATATGTTTTCTGAATAATTTCTCGCGGCATTTTTGTTTACTTATATATTTCTGCAAAATATTTACTAAGTCAAGATTATATGTTTAAACCACTACAGATGTCAGGATGTCGAGCTGGATCTACTTGTTTCTAAATTATTTGAAGAGAATGGGTTGTATTTTACTCCGACCTAGTCTAGTAGTAGAGGGGCAGAAGTACAAGGTTCGCAGACAACTAGCGGAGGGAGGGTTTAGTACAATTGACCTGGCGGAGAATACCAGGAATGGGAAACTAGTGGCGATTAAACGGATTACTTGCCACTCAATTCAAGATCAAAATCTGGGGAAATTTGAGATAGAAGTTCACAGAAAATTTCAACATGAAAATATTATTCGTTTAATAGGTGAGTTGTTAAAATACTTGAAAATTTCAATTTAACGAGATTATTAAAAAACTTTGAAAATTTGAAAAAATTAAGAATATGGAAGCTTATCCTGCATTTTTTCGGGTCCGTCCTAGTATCCTCCTATCAGTTTTGTACATGGTCACTTTTTCAACAATTTTCAACAAAATTAGTATATATTTAGGGTTAGGTAGGGGTAAGACACTTTCTGGGCCGAGCGCTGCGGCTAGGACAGGCTAGGGGGCCGAGAGCTGCGGCTAGGACAGGCTAAAGGGCCGAGCGCTTCGGATAGGACTGGCTTGGGGGCCGGGCGCTGCGGCCACATGGTCAATTATATCCATATGTCCTTGTACAAAATTGAGAGGAGAGGGGTCCTAAAAACGTATAATAGGAAATTACCGGTAATTTCCAAAAGAACGATTTTTGTACCACTTTCAATTTTGTACATGATTTTTTATTGATTTTTAGGTAGTTTTAAAAAAGACACACATGGATAAAGTTGGTCATGTGGCCGCAGCGCCCGGCCCCCCAGCCTGTCCTAGCAGTGGCGCTCGGCCCCATAGCCTGTCCTTGCCGTAGTGTTCGGCCCCCTAGCTTGTCCTAGCCGCAGCGCTCGGCCCAGAAATTGTCCTAAAGAAGGGGGAGGGGGTCCAAAAATTGTATATTTGGACGGACCCCAATCTTTCATTTATCGTAAAGAATACAATATTAATAATTATGCATGGGAAAATTTAGGGTACTGTACTTTTCTAAGGGCTATTTCTTTCCAAAACGACCCCCCCCCCCTACCTGGACAAAATTCTGTATACGCCCCTGATCAATTTGTTGTAGGTGCTAGTATTGAAGGAGACGCAGATATTATTCATAATATAACCAGCGAGATAATCTTGGTCCTTCCCTACTATGAGAGAGGTTCTCTGCAGGACGAACTGGAGAAAAGATGTTTGAAAGAAAACCATCTCGAGGAGACGGTTTTACTCCGGTTGTTTCATTGTATTTGCTCTGCAGTCCGGAGGTTTCACTCTCACGACCCTCCGTATGCTCATAGAGATATCAAACCTCATAATATCTTACTAGAGAAGGATTTTACTCCAATACTCATGGACCTAGGATCTGTTGCTCCTGCTAGAATAACAATCAGGTAAGGTAATTTAAAATGGTCCTCCATGCAAAGGTTAAAATCCCCGATTTACAAAGGTACCCTTTAAAGCGTTTTCTGATTAAGTATGAATTAGATTTAGACGCTGATTATTTACAATTGTGGGTTTTCTACTGCAGGAAAACCTACATATAGAAATTATCAGAACCAAACACTTTCAAACATGGAAAAACTAAAATTTCTTCCACATCATTGATCAGATAAAGGCTTCAAGGGTATCATTGTGATTCAGAAATTGCAATCTTTGCATGGAGGATGACTCAAAATGAATGATGGGAGGGGGGATTATTAAGTACTCTCCCCTTTTTGATTCAGAAATTCATTCATCTTCCAAAATTCAGCATAAAAAAATGTAAACAAATTTTGCACGTTCCGTGCAAACATTCACATTAATATAATGCTGGACACTTTTTTAAGCATGATTTTTCAACAAAATATTTTCATTTGAAATAATACTTTGCGGGAAAGAAATTTTTCCAGTGTAAGAACTTTTTCTGGTCCAGGAGTAACCGGGACGCCCAGTTTCTGCAGGATACGGCAGCAGAGAGGTGTTCTATGACGTACAGACCTCCGGAGCTATTCATGGTTCCATCTTCATTTGATATCACAGGTTAACGGGTTTTCTCAGAAATAAGGGTCCTTTTCATCTTAATCTGGATCCGATATGATTAAATAGTTCGGATTCGATTCAAAATTTACTTCAAATTCCATGCTTTTTTAATCTTCTGAGGAGGGGAGTAATTTTTACTGAAAATACTTATCCCTATCTATCAATTTTCTTATTGAAAGTTGTTTTCTTCATTTTTCTCCAAAAATTCATTTCAAATCGGTTTTGTGGTTTCGGATCCTGATCTCTGATACATCTTTGCAATTCCTTTAAAAATTCTATCTTCGATTTTAATCAAAGCCAAAAATATTTGACCAATTTAACAATTTTTTTTTCTTGGATTTTGAAAATTCTAATAGAATTCCTTCAACATCAACAGGGGCACCTTGATCAGGACGAGACGATTTCGTCGCGTAACAATATATTTATATAAGAAGATTATAGATTACCTTATATAGAGAAAACAGATATCTGGTCGCTGGGATGTCTTCTCTATTCTTTAATGTACTTTAAATCACCGTTTGACAGGTATTTGTATTTAGTACACTTTTTATTTATTAATGTACTTCAAATTACCGTTTAACAGGTATTTGAATTAAGTACACTTTGTATTTATTAATGTACTTTCAATCCCCGTTTAACAGGTATTTGAATTAAGTACACTTTGTATTTATTAATGTACTTTCAATCCCCGTTTAACAGGTATTTGAATTAAGTACACTTTTTTCTTTAATGTACTTTAATTCACTGTTTGACAAGTTCAAGTTTAATTTTATTATCCGGTTTGGAAGTATGAGTTAAAGCCAAATTGCCGTATGCTTGAATCTTAAAAAATTTATGAAAGCAAAATTGTTTGAAGCGATTGAAAAAAATCTTAAGAAACACTTTTTACGCTTTTAAAATTTTTTTTTCATCTCAACTCACTTAATTTTCATATCATCATTCCACCCCCCCCCCCCCCCCCCCCCCNGGTTATCTTGCTTTTATGAACATCTCATCTTTCTTTGTACGTATATTTTATTTTTTTAATTCCTAATGATTAAAATTCCTTTTTCGTAGCGTATATGAGAGAGGAGACAGCGTGGCGCTAGCTGTGCAGAGCGGAGATATATCCTTCCCAACCTTGAAGAAACCTTACTCCGACCCCGTCCAACAACTGGTTAGGAAAATGATGAATCTTGATATGAGTTTCAGGTAGCTAGGGGTGTGTATTTTTATAAGAATTGCCCCCCCCCACCCCCCTGGGAAAATTTGACATTAAGAGGCAAGATTTTTTTATACTGTTTATTAACAAATTTATTTATCTTCCAATTAACAAACTTTATTTATTTATCTTCCACTGAACAAACTTAATTTATTTATCTTCCACTGAACAAACTTAATCTATTTATCCTCCACTAAACAAACTTGATTTATTTATCTTTGTTTATTTTTGATATTGTTTTTTATTTAAATAATTTTCGCTGGCGCTAGATTTTCGAACATTTCTGGAAAATCTGAAAATGTCGTCTTTATTACCAAAAATCCTTGAAACAGGAATAAATGTTTTCATAAGTAACTCTTAGATCATGAAAAATACAAAATATTATGAAATATCAGCTGTTTACGAATGCTTCGAAAAATAATCGTTGACTATTATTTGTAATTTCTGAATGATTTGGAATTAAATTGATTTGTTTACGATCCGAGTTGAATGTTGCATCTTTCTGAATTCGTATGGACACTACGTTCTTCGTTTTTAACAATTTTCTCCTTACAGACACAACAGATAGAAGTAAGATTAGTAGAGATCAAAAGCGCATTAAGCCTATACCCCCTATTCATTTTTCGCGAACACTCACTTTAATATTTGCACAAATAGAAGAGTAAAGATTTAAAGAAGAGACGGTTTCTATAATTTGTCCTTTCTTCAAAAATTAAATCATTGGCAAAAGAGAAGAAATAAAAACAATTGAAGAAAAATGATCTAAAACATGAAATTAGTTTTCCTTCCTTCCCTTTTAGGGTCAAACTGAGTATTTTTACAGTGGGACATATAAACTAAGTATTTTTACAGTGGGACATATAAACCGAGTATTTTTACAGGGGGACATATAAACTAAGTATTTTTACAGGGGGACATATAAACTGAGTATTTTTACAGGGGGACATATAAACTGAGTATTTTTACAGGGGGACATATACACTGAGTATTTTTACAGTGGGACATATAAACTGAGTATTTTTACAGGGGGACAAATAAACTGAGTATTTTTACAGTGGGACATGTAAACTGAGTATTTTTACAGGGGGACATATAAACTGTGGAATATGAAGACGACTGTTATTATTTTAAAACTAATTGCTTTCCACCAACATTAAATATTAAAATGTAATATGTGTATTATTGTATGTATTATGTGACTGTAAGCGATATTTCAAGTGGTTCTCCCTCCACGCAGAGATAGTAAGATGTCATATCAAAACTTTGAAAACTAAAATTGGGGTTGTGTACACTGCACAATTGCTATGATAAATGTTCATTGAACTATTTAAAATCGCAACTTCCAATTCTACAGTTTTATTGGCCCACTTTAAACTCCTGATCCATATATTCGTTTACTAAACTTTAAAAATGCATTATAAAATATTACTTTTGTTTCAGGCCTTCCATTGATGGTGTGATTGAGGAAACAGAAAATATTTTGAGTTCTGAGCAATCTAATCAAACCGTTGCAGTTCAAATCAAATAATCCAATCTTGATAGTTCAGATCAATAATCCAATCTTGGTAGTTCAGATCAAATAATACAATCCTTGATAGTTCAGATCAAATAATCCAATCTTGATAGTTCAGATTAAATAATACAATCTTGATAGTTCAGATCAAATAATTCAATCTTGATAGTTCAGATCAAATAATCCAATCTTGATAGTTCAGATCAAATAATCCAATCTTGATAGTTCAGATCAAATAATCCAATCTTGATAGTTCAGATCAAATAATCCAATCTTGATAGTGCAGATCAAATAATCTTATCCTTGGTATTTCAGATCAAATATAATATTATATAATCCTTGTCAGTTTAGATCAAATAATCTAATCCTTGATAGTTTAGATCAATTCCATGGAAGTAATTAGTTTTTAATATAATGATTAGCATCATTTTTTTCCATGCATTTTTTGTTTTCAAATGCTGTTCCCTTAAAGGGGTTCAATAATTTCTCCTCTCGCATCGAGAAACAAATATAATAAAACTTTCTTTACATTATATGCAATAACCATCCAAGAAATTAATTTTTTTAATTATCAAGATTAAAATTGCACTTATTTTAATTTAGTTTGTTATTAAGCTAGATTTTTTTGTAGAAATTCAATATTTTGTTGGTATTAGGAAAATTAAAAAGTATACCTACCTTGTTTAAGTGTAAAAATGCGATATTTTTTATGTATATTTCTAGAAGTAAAGTATTCTGTCCTGAAAATTTTATAAACTATTTTTATTTTTTAATAAAATAAAACTCTTGAAATGTTTATTTGATTGAAGACAGACTACTCCGACCGATGGAACTTTATGTGCAGTTCTTCCCCTCTCCCCTCCCCTCGGGGCCGGGGTAAAGTAATGTTTTTGATGGTCTGTGGAAAAAATTAAATACTGAACCTCGAAAGACGAAATACAATGAAAAGTTATTTCTCTATATCCGGTATTTTGAACATTTCACATAAGTCGATTTTCAAGCTACTATACACTGTAAAAATAAAGTTTAAATGTCATTTTCTTTTTGTGTAGTTTGTTTGGGTCCCCTGTAGATAACCCCCTTGATCTATATATAAATTTTTCTCTTCTTTGTTTTAAAATGTAAACAAAAAGAACATGTTCACAATTTTAATAGAAGATGGGCGCGAAGCGCCCTAAAAGCCTAGTATAATTATAATTCTCTCTTGCTAATCTCTGTTATTTGTGAATTATTTCGTCTAGTTCTAAAGTTCTAAATGCATGCTGCTGGAAATATAGTTAGGCGGGTTCTGCCTTTTTTTCAATCCGCTCGTTCATCGTTCGTGAGCAACACATTTCGTCAGTTGATTTAATTCGTTCTCAAATTGTTTCCATTTTCCGTTTTTTTTCATTCATTTTCTCACTGAACGAATGTTCAGTTAGTTTATTTCTGAACGACTCCGGATTTTTCCTGAGAAAAAATTCGTTTGTTCTCAAAAATTTAGTTGGTTCAAAAAACGATGTCCATCTTTAGCTGAACATATCTTTCTGATAAAATGGCGTCTGAAGAAAGTTCTAGAAATGGATTCTGAAAGATAAAAATAAACTAAGATTTGCTTCTCAAGTTTGTCCAAACAAAACATAAAATAAGATTATGCAACCATACAGGGTGTCCCAATAAAACTGTTCAGACGTCATTAAAGTCTCATTCTTTGCGGGTTACCCTGTATCTCAGAATCTATTCCGACGTTGATCTGGAAACCCTATGTTAGTTTACTCCGGAGAAGATACTGAATAGAAATAGCTTAATCCAAACCTCTGGAGAGTACTGCAACATTTTTTGTCGCTGTTTTTCTGACCTTGCAGAGAAATATTAGATAAATATGCAGTATGGGTTCAATATTCTCTTGAGGGACAACTAGACCTTAGATATACTATACAACTAGACATTAGATAAACTAGACATTAGATATACTAGACAAATAGACATTAGATATACTAGACAACTAGACATTAGATATACTAGACAACTAGACATTAGATATACTAGAAAACTAGTATTTTCTATAGATATTAGATATACAAGACAACTAGTATTCTCTATAGATATTAGATATACTAGACAACTAGTATTTTTCATAGACATTAGATATACTAGACAACTATAAGTATTTTCTATAGATATTAGATATACTAGACAACTAGTATTTTCTATAGATATTAGATCTACAAGACAACTAGTATTTTCCATAGACATTCGATATACTAGACAACTAGTATTTATCATAGACAAAAGACATACTAGACAACTAGTTTCTTCCACAGACATTAGACATACTAGACCATTACTTTTTTTCATAGACATTAGACATACTAGACAATTAGTTTCTTCCATAGACATTAGACATACCAGACAATTAGTTTCTTCCATGGACATTATAGACATAATAGACAATTTGTTTTTTTCATAGACATTAGACATACCATGAACCATTAGTTTCTTCAAGAGACATTAGACATACCATGGACCATTAGTTTCTTCAAGAGACATTAGACATACCATGGACCATTAGTTTCTTCAAGAGACATTAGACATACCATGGACCATTAGTTTCTTACATAGACATTAGACATACCATGGACCATTAGTTTCTTCAAGAGACATTAGACATACCATGGACCATTAGTTTCTTCCATAGACATAAAACATACCAGACCATATTTTTCTTCCATAGACATTAAACAGACTGGACCATATGATTCTTCCATAGACATTAAACATACCATGGACCATTAGTTTCTTCAAGATACATTAGACATACCGTGGACCATTGTTTTTTTCACATAGACATTAAACATACCAGACCATAAGTTTCTTCCATTGACATTAACATACCAGACCATAAGTTTCTTCCATAGACATTAAACATACCAGACCAAAAGTTTCTTCCATAGACATTAAACATACCAGACCATATTTTCTTCCATAGACATTAAACACACCAGACCAAAAGTTTCTTCCATAGACATTAAACAATAAACATACCATACCATATGTTTCTTCCATAGACATTAAACATACCAGACCAAAAGTTTCTTCCATAGACATTAAACATACCAGACCATATGATTCTTCCATAGACATTAAACATACCAGACCATATGTTTCTTCCATAGACATTAAACATACCAGACCATATGTTTCTTCCATAGACATTAACATACCAGACCATATGTTTCTTCCATAGACATTAAACAGACTAGACCATATGTTTCTTCCATAAGACATTAAACAGACTGGACCATAAGTTTCTTCCATAGACATTAAACATACCAGACCATATGTTTCTTCCATAGACATTAAACATACCAGACCATATGTTTCTTCCATAGACATTAAACAGACCAGACCATATGTTTCTTCCATAGACATTAAACATACCAGACCATATGTTTCTTCCATAGACATTAAACATACCAGACCATATGTTTCTTCCATAGACATTAAACAGACCAGACCATATGTTTCTTCCATAGACATTAAACATACCAGACCATATGTTTCTATATATAAGACATTAAACAGACTGGACCATATGATTCTTCCATAGACATTAAACAGACTGGACCATATGATTCTTCCATAGACATTAAACATACCAGACCATATGATTCTTCCATAGACATTAAACAGACTAGACCATATGTTTCTTCCATAGACATAAAACAGACTAGAGTTATGGGTCAACCAAATACTCGGTACACTAGACGGGCTGGTAGGAGTAAACACTTGTTCGTATCATGCAAGGATCGGGTTCATGTGAAGGGGATGATGTGGAGCGCCCTTGTAGTCTGATATCTGTATATTGGTGAGAATACCAGGAATACAAGGCCCCAGGGAGCTCATCTACTCCGGAAATTCACTAACAATGGGATAAATGGACCTCAAGGAAAACTTATGGTTTCAATGATTATCCTTTCTCTTCTTCAACCGGAGCTGGAAACTTATGAAAATTTGTGTAAACGAGACCGGGTTTTGCAAAGTTTGGTTTAATATGACATCTACCAGTCCAGCTAATTCAGACATCAAAATTATTATCCAAAATAAATATTAAATGAAAGTCCTGGGAATTAAAGGTTGAACGTTTAAGCTCTAAAATCATGAAGCTGTAGCTGTTTAATGGTCTAATGGGGGTAAGGTTTAGGTTTGTATAGGTCAAGGGGAGGGGGTTTATCTCCCCTTGTCTACTCTGTTCTGTTTAGGTACGTATACAGTGAGGGTCAGACAACTCAAGAATAGGAAGATGACTTTCCGACTCAAGTCATGACTTTAATTAGTCCAAATAACCTGAGACACGACATTGTTCAGCGTAAACAGACCTGTTTAACTCAAGAAGTGCAATTTAATAAGTTCATAGTTAAACTATTTGATTTGTAACAACATTAAATACACTGGAGTAGTGCTATAATGTCGTCTTCCTACTCTAAAGTTGGCTGATTCTCACTGTATTGCTATTGCAACATGTTGCAACAAAAAAGAGAACGGTTGTAATTGCAAGTGTGAAGAAGCAGAAACTAAGAAGCTTGTAAACCAAAGGATGAAACTTCAGTATTCACTTCTAACTTGATGGTTCTGCTATCCCTATATAAATGAAATAGATATCTATGTTTTTGTTTATTTAAACTGATTATTTTCATTTGTGGTTTCTTTGCAAAAGTGACTTGCGCATTTTTTGTTTATAATAAATATTGGAGAAATTTATAGAAATAAACAGTTCCGAGTAAGAAAAACAACGTTATTTTCCACATTTTCGATCAGATTCAGGAACAGGGTAACTGTTGTAAATCGGGCATTAAAATCACCTTAACACAATTCCTTTAAGGAAAATAAAATTAATCTCTTCTCTTGACGAATTTCTGTAACAATTCAATTAAATGTCTTTTCTTTTATCTCTGTGTATGGTGGGTCGGGTGATTGGTGTCATGAAGGGTGATTGATGGATTGGTTTCTAGAGCAAGGTGTTCGACAGATCTTAATTAATCCTTGCTAGTGATATATCAAGCTCATCAGCAAACTGCAGGGTTTATAAATCCTCCGATCCTTATCATCATTTTGGTATTAACAATTAACATATATAATTTAAATTCCTTGGAAAATATCGTAAAA